ATTTACGTTGCTGTCTCAAAGCTGCCAGAATAGACGGTCTGCTTGCTGCCAACAAAACGTCCTGAAGTTTTCCAGGAGCCTATTCCCTGGACTTGAGCTGAGATTCACGAGCCAAAAAGAAGTTGTCAGGCTACTAGGGCCTAGGACCCATTGTGCCGCCATCTTGTTCTATTATGGAAGCCTTATCGAAACACAACCAAGATTAGGGCTGTAGTGCACGGACATTTTCGTAGGTGGCTAGGCAAGGCTCCTTGTGCTACACAATAAGACTACGCCCATGCCTGGGGTTCCAGGGTTCATGCAGGTGGAAGGGCAATTTGGTTTTGTGTTTTGGGCGTCCGAAGAAATTAAAGCTTCATCGAACACTCCTTGAATGTTAAGATGGGTGCCGGGGCTCTGCTAAGTATGTCAAAAATGAAAGTTCAGAATGGCATGGCCAGAACCTTCTCAAAGTAGCCCTTGATTTTTTAAAGCTTTCTGATGGGCCTAAATCCAAAATCCCAAAACCACAACCCTGCCCTGGTACATTTCACAATACTGCCTTACCCGTGCATAGCCAATGACTCAGATTCTTCAGCGAGCTACTCGATGACGCCAGCTGCTCCAGTGCGGCCCAGTACAGCTGCGCCACCACCTCCTGTTGATCAGCAAGAGCCGAGTCAGAGGGGAAGCCAAGGGGGTGAAAGGACAAAGCCAGCAGAGAAGGCCACGAAGTCAAGCAAAAAAGATCCCCGCAATGCTGATGATACCAAGCCAGCAGAGAAGGCCACGAAGTCAAGCAAAAAAGCTCCCCCAGAGAAGACCGATGCTGATGATACCAAGCCTGCAGCAAAGAAGCCTCGAGCGTCAGCGCTTGCGACAAAGGAGAATAAGACGAATGAGGCTGAACCTAGCCAGGCTCTTCAGAGGCCAAAGACGGTCAAGTACTTTGATGAGAAGCATAGGAGGCCTGACCAACCTCCACTCGAGGTGAAGGCTGTTGGCGACATCTGGTGGTCTGACCAGTTGGGGCGAGGACTGAGACAACACACCTGGGGCTGTGAGCGGTCCTTGGAGCCTCACGTGCCGGATGACAACCCCAACATCGTTGTTGTCAACTTTCCGTCTGACTTCAAGAAGTGGACTACGCCTCTCGTCCCGGCGGACCTGCAGAAGTTTGCTGGCGGCAAGAACAGTCAGCCTCCCGAGCGTGTCTCGCAGGAAGTGAAAGAGAAGGTTGCCCCCAAAAAAGCGGCTAAAGCAAAGGCTGAACCCAAACCTGTCAAGGATTACCTGCTAGACGCTGTCCGCTGCAAGTATTCTAAACAGGGCAAGGGTAACCCAGTCGTTAGGGTTGAGGTTCGTGAGGACAGGTACGACCCGTCCTTCAAGTTCAAACAACGCTTCCAAATCGTGGTCAAGGATGCTATGACCGCGCACTGCGCTATGACACCACCTTTGCCAACGCCTTCACGCACATGAGCTGCAGCCCGACAGGGATAAATTATAAAGAGTGCAGGGACGCGCTGATCCAGTACGCGGAGGAAGGCAAGCACGATTTCGAGAAGAACGGCCCTCTCCCTTGGAAGACTGTTGCGAAGGAGCTTGTCCCACCATTCCCTCCCGCCCCGTCCTTTGGCTTTTGGACAGACTCTTCTGTTTTCTCTATTCCTGAACAATTCCAGCTTGTTCATTTATTACCGTGTGACAGAATTTTCCGAGGTCGGGCGAGCCGCCTCAGGGGCACAAGCAAGCAGAGCAGGACGAGGAGAATCAGGATGACGAGGACGAGGAAGACGACGAGGACGAAGCAGACGGCTTCTGGGACAGATACCACGACAATAAAGATAGTGAGGGAGCACATGTCGTTTTCAGCGTTTCTATCCTGAGCCCGCAAGACAGCCTAGCAATTCCAACCGAATAAATATCATAGACCCCTAAATAGACCCTAAACAGACCCCGAATAGTGAAAATAGACCCCAAACAGTGAAGTAGACCGCGCAGTTAAATTTTAACTGCTCGCTAAGACCAATAGTAGACCCCAGATAGACCCCCAAATGGAGCCCGAGTAGACCCCGAATAGTGATCATAGACCCCAGAATAGAGACTTGACCCTCCTCAAACCAAACCATTTCGTCTCAGGTTTGGATGGCCTCGCAGCTGCCGCCTCAAGCCTTCTGAACCCTGGTGGAGCCAATGAGGACGAGCAAGATTGAAGGTGAGTATCTGTTTTCCCCAACAGGTTGTGAATCTATTTGAAGACGTTCCACACATGAGCAGCACCAAGTTTACCTATGTGTGATTGTTACCAGCTATCCCCATACTCTGTTTTGGTGATTAGCCTAGACTACACCACACCTCATCCCAAAGAAATCCTAGCAAGTCGCTCCTCCTCGATTTGCGTGCAGTGTACGTGCAAGCTGCCTCCCATCCATAGTAGCAGGTGCCTCATTTTGCTGCCAGTCCGCTGATATGGACAATTCGTTCCAGGGATACTTGTGTAGGCCATCAGCTATAGACTACTGCGCCAAAGTATGTTCTTTTCAAAGAAGAACTGGACCCAGGCGGGCTTTTTTCTGGAGGTACCTGTGTGGTGATTTGGGGGTGACGACGCCGCTCCTTTTAATGCGCTGCGTGCTGGGTCCAGGGTCTGTAGCCTTGTCTGTAGATTTCTGTGCGCCATAGAGTGGGGATCATTCAGGCTAGAGGTGATTTTCGGTACTTGGGGTTGAGTACTCTTACCTAGTGTTCTGACACTCCCAGGACCTTGCTACGCTGGCTGTTTAATTTTCCTGCGAACGGTGAGCTTCTTGCAGACTGCTGGGTATATGAGTGTGCCATATAGTGTACAGAAGAAACTCGATTATAGGTCTTCTTGAAATTTAGGGGTACGTTATTGGTGGTTGTCTTCACCGGGGCCCATGAATGTGAAGAACCCAAAGCAAGTCTGATTACTCACGCTTGAAAGCCATTCTTACCGTACTTTTCATCATGGTAGCAATGGGCAAGTATGGCTGAGCCTGGCGTGCTTCTGATAAATCTTGATGAGGGGCGGCTATGTGTATAAATGTTGCCTTCGGGATTCTGCCAAGGCGGCTTATTTATATAGATGTAACCGAACCTATATATATTTGTATTATACTTAGGGGGATCAGTCTCTCGCGGTTTTCATGGAGGGGGCCCGGTACGGTGTTCAAGTCAAATTGTTTGTCAGGATCCTATAGAGCTGTAGGTAAAATCCCCCATAGCTACAGTGGTTCCAGTCCCCGGAAGGCAGCTATATATATATATTGATTTCCACGCCAGGGATCAGCATCTTGTCTGGTCGCCGGCACGCGACATCGTAATGCCTTGGGCGGCGCAGCTTGCAGGATTGTGTCCAACCCCATATAGTATAAGCTGACCCTTTATTCGATGTATAAGATTATTCAACCCCAAGCCTAGCAAGATAGCTTCTGGATCCAAAAACGGAACCGTTTTGCCTTGTCAACAATCTAAAAACACAAGAATAACATCCCCTGGGCTCCCATATCGTAGTATTCATGATATGATATAATAATATATATTATAGCTGCGACTATATATGTACGCTGGGGTAATTAATATATATAGGATCTAAAAAATGGAACCCCCCCCTAAGACCCTGTATTAGTCGCTATATATATATATATAAGAAGCGGATTATTGGGGTTCCATTTTGGGATGCTTCCTATTTTCCCTGGCACTAATATAATTAGGACGCCTGGGGTGAGAGGCTATCTAGATACACATATATATCAAGAGGTTCCATTCTTGGATCCAGTGGTCAACGCGGTGTGTACGTAGAACCCTAACCCTTCCCATAGGCGGTCCTTTTATATGTAGGTTTATATATTATTTATTATATATGATCCAATTATATATATATGTGTACCCTACATAAAAGAAATAGCCCGAAACCTTAAACCCTAAACCCTGATGAACCCTAACAACCCTGGGAAGCCGCCATATAGCGAGTGCCGTCGAAGGATGCTGGCGCATGTTGCAGGATTGGGATCTAGACATGGAACCCCTCCCCCAAACCTACTGCTTTATATATATATATGTATATAAAGAGAGAATACATACAGAGCTATTGTTTCGGGGTCCCACATAACCTATACATAATATATAACTCGATCAGGCCGGCTACGCATATATTATTGTCATACTATCGTATTAAGCACTACGTAGAAGCTTATCCAGGGGTTCCATTTTCAGATCCGCTGCCCGTTGCTCGTTTTGCGAGGAGTACCAACTATGATCTGTGCCCGGACACAAAACATCGTCTGTTTTGCGAGAAACCATTAAGTGCTCGAAATGTTGAAAAATTAGCTAGAACGCCGATGACCCGATGAGGTCCTAGTAGTTTGGAGAGGATTTAAACAATGAGGTCCTAGGAAACCACCACCCGATGAGCCCCCCGATGAGCCCCCCGATGACCCCCCCCGCCGGGAGCCAATGAGGTCCTACTAGTTTAGAGAGCATTAAAACAATGAGGTCCTAGACAGCCTACTCGATGAGCCCCGCGATGAGCCCCTAAGAGCCATCCAAAAGTCGAAAATCATGTGTTGGAACCCAAACTTTGCTTGCGAGACCCAGACATCATCTCGTCATCGCCACACGAGCACGAGCATCGGTTCTCCAAGCCTCGCCCGGTTTGTATTGCAGGTCAAGTCAGCTGCAACCCTCCTTCTGAAGGAAGATTTTTGGGCCCTGCTATAAACATAGCTTGGCCTCAGCAGCTTTTATTAGCCCAGGGTGGCATGTCTGCGATGGATCGTGCCCCTACACAAAGTGCTAGCTCTAATGCCTTGGATGAGGCAGATACTTTGGTGCTACCAGGACCCTATGACCAGCTCAGCAGTGTGACTGAGTTGGACCTATCCTCCCTTGCCAGTGAAGACCAAAGTGCAGGTGCTGGGCCGGGTCAGGAGGGCGCGCCTCCACCACACCCGACACAGGAGCCAGTGACAGCGGAGCAGGTTCCCAAAGGCCTTGACATGACCTTGGCTATCCAGAACTTTGCAAAGCATCACAACGTTGATCCAAGCAAAGTGTCAGCAGAACAGGTGCTTCAGTCTGCAGAAGGACCCTTTCACTGGGCTACTTTTGGGAAGGATACTTCAGCTAGAGGGCCTGGAGCACAGTCCCTAAAGAGAGCCATGCAGTGGAGGCCCGACATGCGCGAGGCATACACTGTGCTGCTTGACAATCTGAAGGTGGAGTTTAGGAAGGCATGGATGGCCACAAAGTCGTTCGACTTTACAACCGTGCGTAGGAGCACCACCCTCTCCTTTCGCAAAAGGCGTGATGAAGTGGGCAGCTTCAAAACGAAGCTCCAGATTCAGGGCATTCTTGGTGGAGACCACCCGGATGCCGCCAAGCAAACGGAGCACTACGTGTCCATGTGTGAGCGCGATGACTTGAAGGAGTTTTGTTTTGGGGAACAACTGTTCTGCACATATTCGGTTTGCTATGGGAGGTTCATGAGGTGATCTAACCATGTACTATCATATGGGGATAGTCAGTCCAACCCTATGGCAGGAGTTCTGTGTCCTCTACAACGATTGGCTGCAGGCCGATACGTACTTCTGGGTCGAGAGATTGGTTACCACATCGAGTGCTCAGGAGTGGGCAAATGTTGTGACGGTCGAGTCCAAGGATGCCGTTGATGGTTCGTGGGCTGCCAAGGTCGAGATTTCCCGTGCAATCAGGGCCTTTGCGGCCGCCAAGGGGAAAAAGATCCAGCAGGTTACTGAGAAGATGGTTGCTGAGTCCGATTTGGGGATCAAAGGCTACGCGTCTCTCTACGACAGCCTTCCGGCTGCAGCTCCAAAGCTGGGTGGGGATGGCACCAATGCCCCGCCCCCGCCGGCGCCTCCCAGTGCCCGGAAGCGCACGCAGGAGGATGATGGTGATGATGAGGGCCAAAAGGCCAAGGGTAGCAGCAACACCAAGAAGCCAAGGACTCAGAACACCACGACCAAGTACGAGAAGGAGGTCAAAGAGTTCTTGGCCATGGAGCAAAGCAGTGACAATCGGATGACGACCATCACGGCGGAGGTCACCAAGAACCCTTCCTGGTGGACGTGGGCAAAAGATGCAATCCTGACATACAAGGAGGCCCGAACAGCTGTTCTCAAGGTGTATGCGGACCAGCCGCATTTCCAGAACTTCAAGGTGGCAGCCTTGAGTCAGAAAGAGATGGCCTAGCTCGCAAGGACCTGGATGATCAGTACGTTCCCAAACTCCTGGAGTATATCACGAGTTTGGGACCCAAGATCCAGGTCATGTCCGAGGCGGCCTTGCAGATCGATCAGATGGCGTCAGCCAAGAAGGGTGCGAGCGCGTTGGTTTCGGCTCCTACAGCTAAGCCTAAGGGCAAGGCAAGGCCCAAGCGTAGCGCGAAGCGCGGTGACTCGAGCGCCAGCTTGCAGGCCTGAGATTCAGGCAGGCATCCTGGGTGAAGGGTTTTGGGCGAGCAGCATCCATGCTTCATTGGGGGATCTAGGGCCTAGGGTTTATTGCAGGGGCCTGGGAAGTACATTATCCAACACATGTAGGAGGTACGAAGTAGATTTTTTAGGCAGGAATTCTCTCAAAGAAAAATCCCAACTTTCCTAGGCCTTGCGCAATGACCCGGGAGGGACCTGTACACTCACTCGTCTACGCATGCACGGGGAGGGACAGTTGATCAGGGACCGGGTTTCTTTTCGAGTAGCGAGATCTAATTAGCGGGTTGTGTTTGTTCTGAATGTTTGGAATCCTTCTCATATGTTGTCAAGACTGGGGCCTCCGCAAACCTCCAGAATGATGGCATGACTGCTGCTTGCACGGTTGCTAGGATCATTGTACGTATCAGCGAATGATCACAACATTAGGGCGAGGCATCGCTACACGTGGGGAATCCTTGTGAAAAAAGGTGCCTCGAGGGAGCCTGCATTTTCACAGCAACGAACCTTATTGGTGCATGAGTTTCATGACTGCTCTTCCGATGTTGCACTGGGCAGCATGAGCGACCCACGTTTCATTCTTTATTTGTCGAAGGGCCCAAGAGCAGGACAATGCATACCGTAAAATACCCGCAGCCAAGCAACCCACTTTCCCTAGCCTCACCCCAACTTTCAAAGTCTAGGTTTTAATGAGCTTGAACCCCCAGTATGTTTGCTAGTGCCTCGTAGCTTGACCCTTTCATGAGTTTCAAACGTGCCCGAGCGGAACTAGCGTCAGCAGCCTATTCCATTTCCACTGATGACTTGCTGGCAGAGGATGAGCTAGAGCAACGAAAAAAAGCAGGCGAAGAATTCAGAGATTTCTTGATCCAAAGATACACTGATGGTACTTTCTCGGCTGCGGATACGTGCCTGCTGGCTCATTATCACTCTCAATCTGGGGGCCTCGGCGCAGATGAGCTTGCTCTGAATCCCAGGCATGCCTCCCGTCATGCAGCAGAACACTTGAGGCCCTACTCCCCAACCTTGAGTAACGCGCTACATAGTTATATGGGGTCCCATTTTCACAAAACCTTTCCTGACAACCCAAGCCCACCATCAATCCTGAAAGGTGCCATCTGCGAAAGGAATTTCCAGAACCGCATGTTGAATGGGTCCCGGCTCCTATGCAATGCAAGAAGAGCTTGGGAAGGGAAGTTGCGCATCACCCCACAAGAGTGGCCTCATCATTGATTAGGGATGAACTTCGGGATCTCCAACTACTTGGTGATGATTCGCAGGCTAATCTTGATGAGGCATTTGTTGCCAGCAGTTCTCAATGCGACAATGAATTGGGAGACCTCTATGAACGACACCCCGTAACACTTCAAGCTTTGGAAGAAGGTTTTTAACGAGAGCATATCGTGCAATTTGAGTGTCTACTTTGACGGCGTGCAGTACACGAAGAATGAAAATTTCCTGGGGTTCTATATCACCAACCTCCGCACCAAGAAGCAGCGACTTCTGTGGTTGATACGCCTCTTGGTCATGTCCAAAGAAAAATAAACCCCCTAGGAATCCCATGCTTCATTTGCGGAGAAACCCAGATTTTATTGCCCAAAATGGAATTAATTCCCAAAGCTTGAGGCCTTTCCGACCTTTGCCAATGTGGATGCAGGGGGTGGTGCTCTGTATTTCCTTTGCTGGAGTTCTTCAAAGCAGACATGTGTGCCCGACACCGTGATATTCGCACCCCAATCTGTGACTTGAAGTGTGATTGGCCCGCGCTAGTTGAGCTGATTGGCCTGAGAACTTGGAGCCATAGTCTTCACTGCTGTCCTTGTTGCTTCGCTAAGAAAACAGAACTCACGAAGGTGGGTCACTTCTCTTTGAGAACCTGCCCCTACCCCGAATTTGACGATGCTGCTTATGCTGCCACCCTGGCGAGAAACTTCAAGGACAAATAGTTTCTGACAGTGTGCAACCCTCTGACCTCAAAGGGGACCTGTGTAAGGAATAACACACATCATTTTACGCCTTGTCATTCCCCCCGAAGTTCCAAGGATTTGTCTTACGGGGCCCCTGTTGTAGGAGATTCTTGTGCCGGATGCAAATGTACAGAAGCTCATCTACCAGAATCTCCTCAAGATCACTTCGCAAAGGAAACCCGCGAATGTACGCCACGTATGTGGATGAATCTTACAATGGTTGCATCGCAAGGGTCTGCCGTTCTGTTCATAGACGGGGTTGGGCAATGGCTGTTTATCGCAAAGTTCAAATGCTAGAAACCATCTCAAGTAAGAAGAGCAAGGGCAATTAGATCAGTGACCATGGCCTTCGGCGGCGACCCAGCTCTGTTCGACGCTCGCGAGAACTTGCCCGAGATCCTGAAGTACGTACGGGAGTTTGCTGGGTTCTTGTTGGCACTTGCGCACCAGAGAAAAGTGTTTTTCATAGTGGAACAACCGTCCTCATCTGTAATGAGAAATTACAGTTGGTTGTCGACCCTTTGTAATGTTTTGGGCTTACGACGCATAGTCACTTGGATGAAGAGTTTCGGAAACGTGATTCCAAAACCAACATACCTTCTATCGAATATGCCAAAGTGTGCCAAACTCCGTCGCATCTGGTCCCAGAAAAGAGAGCTGGCCAGAAAGGCCTGGAATATTTTCAAAAACCTCTTTAATCCTCTCCAACCCTCTATACCGTCTATACCTCTACCCCCTTTACCCCTCGATGTGACCCTAGAAATCCCCCCATCGTTCGTAGTGCGGTTTAGCTTCTCCACCCTACTCCCAGCAATAATATGCCCCATGCCCACTCCTGTTTGCAGGCATCCTTATGGGGGAAGCTCAAAAGCAAAACCTGGATGGAAGTGGTTCTCCTCTCGCCTTTTGCGAGACGTTTCGGCAAGAAGCGTTTTTTGGAAAACAAGCGGAGGCCAGCGGCATACAAGCGAACTCCAAGTGGACGTATCAGTGGGGGCCCGGGGCTCAAGGCCACGGGGGCATACACGCCACAATTTTGCTTGGCTGTCATGGAGGCCTGGGAGGATTCGACGCGCCATGGTGCCCTCCCTAAGCGCCTGCCACTGAACACGCTTCTCGAGATCTTGGCAAGTGTCGGATTCATCCCTCCCATGCCCCAGCAGCGGCCAGCTTTGAGACGCGTGACGCATCTGGACCCCAAACAGCAAAATTTCCTGTCTCGCTTGTTGTGTACGTTTTAGTTTTCTTGAATATTCCCCGCGATCAACCAATTAGGGTACCCACGGGCTAATCTGGGGTGTTTAGGGGTGTTTGGCTTGTCAACCTAGACGCTCCATCACCATTTTGGATGTGCCGGATTCTGTTGAAGAAGATGATGTGATGACAGTGGGTATCACTTCGGCATATGACTTGCTCAATGCGTTGGACTCTGCTCTTGCTTCCCTAGGCAATGTACAGGAGACTGGCCCTTGAGGTTGTGGTCTAGCCTACACACTATCATGAAAAATCACAGCTACTATAGATAGCGGCGTGATTCTAGTTGGGGTGGCGTCCTCCACAGTTTTGCACGCCATATAAATGGCCGAGATTCGGATCGCAGCTCGACCACCGCAGCAAAGAGGTGGACCATCATTTGGCGTCTTTATAGGGCTTAGGGCTTAGGGTTTAAGATCTGGGTTGTAGAGCTGGCAGTCTAAGGTATGGGGTTCAGGGTTTTGGTTTTGGTGTAGGGCCCTACGTGTGTAAGTTTCCATGTTGATTTGCGTGGGTACTTCTGAGGCTTAGGATCTCGGAAGTTTAAGGAATGTTAGGGTGTAGGGTTTGGGGTTCAGGGTTTAGGGTAAAGGTTAGGTTTGCCGTGCTGGTAGTTTTAGAGCCCTGCCCTTTGAGGGCTGTGAATATAAGAAAAGTCTAGGTTGCCTTGCGTTGCATCTTGGGACTTATGGGTTGATTTCAAAAGCTCTGGGGTTGGACATCTGGTTCATATTTGGGTTAGTGGCTAAATGTCACACATTTTCTTAGAGTAATGGTCCTGTGTGGTGGCTTACTGATTCATCACGCTATGAGGCTTGTGCGGGAGTGCAACTTCAAGGATCAAGCAACATATTTGTAAGATTAGGAGGCCCACTTCTATTGACCATTGTGGGGCCCAACGGGCTCGGTATTGAAGTACACCTTCATAATGTCAGTCTTTTGTGTTTCTTGGGGAGCTGTACGTTGTTCATTGTTATATTGCTGGGGCCCATACTGCTAGGACAACTTTGTACCAATCAAACAGTGGCCATAATCCTGGTGAGTCATCCCTGTGTTGGAAGCCCCCCTAACTTGCAACAACTTCTTATTTTATTGGATTCTTCATGACAATGTCCATACTGTGTGTTGAATTGGAGGCAGGATTATAAACACGCAAGGTCTTATTTTTCAATCAACAGATTCCAAAAAAGCTTTGCTTGAAACATGGGGTGAGGTTCGAGGCGGAGTACCCAAAGAAGGTTCGGGGCGGCACATCCAATAGCCAGCAGGGTTGTATTCAGTAGTTTGCGACCCGCTTTGCTGAAGCAGTTCACCCAGCCACTCATCATCAGAATCCATGGGGCCAGAGGACATGTCAGACTTTTTACCACATGGACTGCATGTTAGGCGCCCCCAAGCATTGAAGCTAGCGGGCCCTTCCTATAGTGATGCTCACGCTACCTGCTCCTTATCGCATGTAGCGGGCTTACCTGGATCGCCAACAACATGTGCAAAAACTGCAGCGCACAAACTAACTTGTGTTCTGTCTACATGCAGCACA